TTAAAAAAAAAAAAAAAGAGTTGTTGATATCCGAGTCCGGACCCTTCATAGGTGCCGGTCCGAGCCGAAGGAGCCGGTCACCAAAACCGCACGTGGGTGCCGAGCTGAGCGAGAGTCAAAGTCGTCGGGGACGGTGGGGAGAACCGGTACCGAGATCGGCACCGAATCCGTGTGGTTACGAGATCGGCACCTTATTCCCAGCCCTGCAAGGGCGGCTCCTGATAGAAGTATGACGACGGACACAATAAAATAATGCCACTTGTCTACGCATGATTGCCGATGGGACGTCCAACTCAGCCAGAACGTGTCCGCATTTAATGCAGCCCACGTTCGCATTAAATGGATGGCAGGTAATGATTGGTGAATCCGGAAATTACTCTCAATCAGTCAGAGGAGCGCCGGTTTGTCCCGTTGAGCTACTGTGCGACAAGACCGCTGAACAGTACCCAAACAGTACCGCATTAAAGCCACCTATAAATAGCAACCCCCTCATTTATTTTTGGGTTGTTGAATCCCCAACTGCTCGAGCTAATATTTTCTCTCTCTAAAGAACTTGTAAGGAATTCTCGTAAGAATTGTAAGTATATCACAAGTGCCGACCTCGTACGAGAGGCCGAACTCGTGACCCGTTAATAAAACCGTGATTAAACCGTATTTCTTTGTCTTTTCCTCGCTTTCTTTCCATTACTTGACTTTTTAACCGTTGACCGGAAACGTCCGTCAACAGTTTGGCGCTAGAAGGAGGGCATCATAAGTTATTTGGTGTCTACTTTTCGGTCTTGTAAAACTCCACACCACGCTCATCTTTTTCCCACTTTTTCGCTTCTTAAAATCGCTCAAAATGCCTTCATCTGGACATGACGATTCTACCCAGCAGTCCGGCTCCCAGTCTCGCCGCCGCAACGTCGGGGAGTCCTCCCGTCGCGCTCATCAGGGACCGATCGTTCCCGTACCCCCAGTTCCGACTTTCGCCGCGGCGTTGCAGCACCCCGACGTCCTAAAAGCCCTCGAGTGGGTCTTCGCCAAGGCCCTCGCCAGTCAAACTGCCGGGGCAAACACTGTGGTGCCCACGGAAAACCCCGGCAACACTCTGCTCCACACTCCTGAAAAGGAGACGGGTGGACAGAGGAACCCCGCAAAATCCAAAACCACGGCTCAATCGCCGAACCGCGAGGCCCAGAACCGTCGCGACAAAAGTACCAGACCGGCTCCCACCGAGCAGACGGGGGAGAGCCGACCAGAGCGAAGCCTCCCGGTCGTCCGTCGCTCCGTCCACCAACGCTTGGGGGACAAGAGTCACGCCAACCACGATCTCCGGGAGGTGATCAGACGAGGCAAAGCCATCGGCCACGACACTGAAGAGGTCGCGGCCCTCAAGCGCAGAATCGCCGAGCTGGAGGGTCGGCAGCCCACCGGGAGTGAGTTCTCGCTCCCAGTTCACCAACAAACCCGCACGCGACCGACTCCTCGGGTTGCGGACAACGCCTCGCCTCTCTCCCTCGATATCCTACAAGAGGCTGTCCCGAAGGGGATACAAATACCCCAGCTCGGCCTCTATGACGGGAGCTCGGATCCCGACTCGCACCTCGGCCTCTACACCTCGTGGATGGACCTGCACGGCGCCTCTGACGCCCTGCGCTGCCGCATGTTCTCCCTGACGTTGGGACCTAAGGCGCAGAGGTGGTACCATTCTTTATATCCCCGCTCCATCTCGACCTGGGCGCAGCTCGGGTCGGCATTCCGGTCCCACTTCATTGGATCGCAAATCAATCTCGCCCCCAAGGAATCAATCTCCAACATCATACAGGGCGAGAATGAGAGCTTGAAGGACTACATCGCCCGGTTCAATGACCGGGTCCAGAATATGGAGCGGTGTCACCCCGACGCCCTACTCATCACGGCCCAGGGCGGACTCAGACCGAAGACGCTGTTCAGGTGGTCCCTGTGCCAGAACAAGCCAACCACCTACCAAGAGTTCCTCACCCGTGCCCAAGAATACATCATGGCGGAGGAGTCATCATCCATCCCGACCTTCGACGCCACGCCGGCACCAGCACCGG